TCATCTGCAAACCTGCTGAGGGTGCGCTCGGTCCCACCATCTACGTCATTGACAAAGATATGAAATAGTATTGGTCCCAGTACCAGCCCTTGAAGGACATCACTCGTTACCAGTTTCCACTGGGACACTGAGCTGTGCCTGTCACTCTGGACGTGGCCATCCAGCCAGTTCCTCATCCGTCTCAGGAATCATGCTTGTGCTGAACCCTTCATGTGGAAACAAGAGATGGCAATACAAAATTCATCACAGAGCTTTTTTTTCACCCCCACCATCCTTCGTGCTATTATAGAAGAATTTATCTGTGCAATTCAGGTCACTTCTGTGTTGCAGGATCAATACGGTTGAGATTTCTAGAGTGGCAGGAGGGATTTAATCAGCAATTTTAATAGAAGCTGGAGCTTAAAGGCTCACTATTGCTTTTAAAATCCCAGCCTGCTGCTGAACGGCGAAGCGGCAGAAGCACGGGCCATGCCAACCTCCTAATCCTAATAAGGTGTTAGATAGTCATAATTAGGCGTTAAAATTAGCTGTCAGACATGCTTTTCTGAGAGAAGCCTCCATCATCTTGTGTCATTAAAACTTGATTATGCGTCGTTTTTACCCACAAATCGTTCTTTTTCCCAATTTATAAACATGGAAGATTACATCTGCCTGGACTATTATGTTTAATACCTTTTTTAATATTGTAGCTAAATCATCCATGATTCAGCCATCGGGAAACCGCGGCAAGTCTTAGCATTCAAGGCGCTGAAATCACACAGCCTTTAGCTGGTCCGCATCTCCAGATGCCCATCAGAAATGAAGCGTGATGCCGAGAACTGGCAGCCTCCAAGGTCTTTGTTTGGAAAAAACGCGTTCGGAGTAGAAAAAAAAATTCCGTAAGATCAAAACCCAGGAGGTCGGTTGGTCTGTAGGTGATGTTGGTGGCCTCCCGGAGGACCTCATGATGGCTGAGTCTCCACTTCTGCTGCTATGGTGAATACGGCCATTTCGAACCCACACTTCCCTCGCTGCCTCCACCTCTCATTTAAAGATAGCTGCTCTCCTGCTAATGTGAGTCAGAAAAAGGGTCACAGCTATTCCGCTGTTTAATTAACAGATTTTTTCCAATCTGCAGTAATCAGGAGGCGGTGAGATGCTGTTTGGGAGTTCCTAGAAAGCTCCTTGTTATCTTCACGCTGTTCAGTGCCGGGCGGATAATATGGGATATTAGCAGACTTGAAATCTTAACCTTCATTAATTGCTGCCCTGAACACTGGTTGAGTAAATGAGTTCATTGTAGTGGAGTGTTTAGACATCTTATCGCTGGGCTGAGCCTTGACTTCTCTTCATCCTACACAGTCTTCGGGGCCCCTTTGCTCTAAGGATGATTTCTCCCAGCCCTCCTGCGAGAGCTGGCTACCGTTTCTCACCAGCCATCCCAGCCCACGTGCTTTTCTTGCTCGTGCAAGCGGATTTTTTTTACCATTTCCATTTCTTGTGACCATTCATCGAGCTGTGACCAATACCTTGATGCCCTCAGGGCACATGATGTAGTCCTGGGTGTCCCATGGCAGCCGCTCAGCTTTTAGTCTACCCAAAAAAACCCCCCAATTTTAAGTATTCTTGAGGATTTTTCCCCAATTTAGCACTTCAGTAATAATGTTTCAGGGGCAACTTCATGCAGCCTTCCTTGGAAATGCCTCTAAAGGTTGGGAATTCAGGTGTCGCATATCCTTGGTGCAGGGACAGCCCATCCTTGGGGCAGGTCGCACCTCCTTTAGATGCTGTACTTGCCATGAGGTCTCATGGTACTTGACTGCCAGGTAACAAGGATTGGATTATGCCGTGTTATCATGGACCTGCTTAAAGCCACCCCTTTCTTTTTGGAGAGCAAAATTGGTGGAGAATAGGGGAATCAACCCCGTATCCATCACAAGTCAACAGATAGGAAGGTACCTTGAAAGGAAGCAGAAGAGCGGAGATCCTTACGGGACGTTCTCACTCCAGGGAAAGCCTTAAAAAAAAAAAGACAAATATGATCAGACTTCCATTAGAGGATCTTGAACTGGTACCACTGGGTCTTCCTGGAAGGAAAGTACAATTTTATAAGCACCAGACAGCTCAGACCTTAATGCAAATAGCAGCAAAACCCCAAAGTGACACGCACAGTCAGCAAGTCAGCTGATACCACATTATCCTTTAGGTTATTTTTTGTTAGGTTTAATTTTTGGGACTAATTTCCATGTTTAATTTGTTCCCCATATGCTCAGCATCTCCTAAACGCTGCAAGTTTGCTGCTTTTCCGGTCATTGCTTGGGGTCGTAGGCAGGGGACAGCAATACTGTGCCATGAAATGAGATCCTCCAGCAATTAAATTCTAGTTTTGCCCTTCACACCCTGAGCAAAAAAGGTGAAAGGACAAAAATCTGGGGAGGAGAGAAGGAAAAACATTATTCTTATCAAGTAGACATATAGAGATGGGTAAGTAGATGTGGGGATTCTGCTGTCTTAGGTGATTTAAGTGCTGGTTGAGTCCCATCAAGTCATGCCTTGGCCACTGGGAATACTCATCAGCCCTATGGTCCGGTGTAGGCAGTGTGGGAAGAGCCACCGCCGGGCTGGACGGGCTGGCTGCTGTGATTGATTAGCCAGGGACTGGATGCTGGAGTGGGAGGTCTCGGCTTGGTGGGGTTCATGAGGCATCAGTAGATGCTGGTGCATCTCAGTACATCTCCTCTGGCAGCTTGGGTTGCTCATGTGTTGACTGGAGCGGCTCTGAAGCTGTAAATCCTCACCCTAACTCGGACTACTCTTGTCTTTGCCAGGGTACACTGCGGGGACTCCCTACAAGGTCCCACCGACCCAGAGTAACAACGCACCTCCTCCCTACTCGCCATCTCCGAATCCGTACCAAACCGCTATGTACCCCATCAGAAGTGCCTATCCACAGCAGAACCTGTACACCCAGGTAGGTGCCTCGCCAGCCGCAGCTCCTCTCCTCGCTCAACGGCATGCAGATACAGCCCGAGGTTGCTGCAGGGCTTCATCCTTTACCGTCAGGGCTGAGCACCCATGTCCTGGTGGGATGGAGGTGCTCAGGATGGGGCTTGGTGGGTCTCCGGGATGCTGGGGTCTCTCTCCTGCCTCCTCCGTTGGATCCTCTGGATGAGACGTGGTCATCAGAGTCAACACAGTGGCATCCCTGTGGCTCAGCCAGGTTGGGAATCGGGTCCCTTTCCCCAAAACCACACGCCTGACTGCCAGGGCTTGCTGGCTCCAGGGTGGTCCCTGCACCCACCTCTCCTCACCCTCGCCAGCTCTCAGTGCTGCTCTTCCCCAGGGCCACAGATGAGTCTGGGTCACCACAAGGTCTATTTGCTGGTGGCCGTTGGCATCTCACTTGACTTGGATTGCCCTTCTGCCACCTCCCGTGGAAAAGCGCCTGTGCCACCTTCACCAGCACAAGCCACTTCAGGCATGACCCAGATTCGTGTCCTCATGGAGGAGCTCCTCCCTGAGCACCTGGATGGGTTTCCACTACCATATTTTCTGCTCCTGCATTGCCACCACCTCCAGCTCTGTGCTGGGGCCAAGATCCTCCACAGGGAGGCAATTTAGGGGAGATGCCCTCCAAAAATCACCTTGATGCCCCTTCCCACTGAAGACCACGAGGTCTTCAGAGCAATCTGGCCCTACAGCTTCCCTGGCTTTTCCCCTCCTCTTTAATGTCAAATAACGAACTTCTACAGCAGCTCCAACCTCATGGACTGGTTTCTCCATGCCTTGTTGAGACCAGAGCATCTCCTCTTGCTGATTTTGTCCACTGTCACCTCTCCTTCCATTAAGTGAGTGTTGCATAAGCCGTTGGTGTCCAAACCCATCCCTGCACACTGGTTCTTCTCTGATCCCAGCCACAGCAGGAGGATGGCATCTGCTTAGCAGTGCCCACCAGCAAGCCTGAGATGGAGCAGGGCTTGCAGATGCTGTTCCCTCATCTCTGCTTCCCAGGCACCGGCAAGTAAGAGTTTCAACAGCCTGGAAGGGAACGATGGCAAAGAGCTACTTTGGTAGATCCTTTCAGCACGTTATGCCTGCAGCAGTCGTCACCTGGGATGGTCCTTCTCCACAGCTCATTTCTCAGTCACCTTTTCCTCATGGGCCTAGTTGATCTTAGCAGGTGCTTCTCGTTCCCCAAGGAAATGCCTTTCAGCGTCTGCCATTTGTCCTGTCAACCTTTGTAGCTCCTGAAAGAAAGAAGTAATTTAGTAGTTCACCTGCATCTCGTTCTCCCCTTGATCCATGCCTTCAGAGGTTCTCTAATGCCTTTCATTGTTTTAAACCCTCCAATCTTCCCGACTGTCCCTGGTTTGCAGGTACCGGCAGCGTCCCTGCCTGTCCCGAGGACGGCAGTTCTCTCCCTTGCGCCAGTCACGTTTCAGGCCCTTCATTATTTTGGATGTGGAGCTTTTTCTGTTGGCTCCTTTCTTTTATTCCCATCCATCTTTCCCCACTTGTTTCAAAACCCCACGGGTCTCAGCAGCCTGAGTTTTGGAGCCGGTCTATTGCCCATTGGAAACCCAAGAAGGTGACATACTTCCTGGACCCAACCAAGCACCTTGGGATCAGCCAAGAGCCATGGCTTCTCCTTTTCTTCCACCTTTTGTTCATTTTCTACACCAGCAGCCAAAGTGTTTTGGGTCCAGGCCCCATTTCATCCCACCAAACGGAGGCAGCACCGTTTGTCCCTGACGAACTGAGTCTTTGACCCGTGATGCCGATCCCCCTCCCAGTCCCATTGCTTTCATCCATCCCGGGGACCATCCCACACGTCCACAGGTTCAGCTCCGTCCTTGCTTGTCCAAGTCTCCAGGCACATAGGAACTTGCTCCTGGGAAGGACCAGCCCTTCAGCAGCGCTTGAATGATGTCCCATGGGCAGCTCTTTGTACCAGCAGCTACGCGTGACGCCTGCTTGTCTTAATATTGCTTCTGCAGCACATCTGGAGGAGCCGAGGGCTTGAAGTCTGGAAGTGAAGGACTCTCACAGTGGGCTCACGATATGGGCTGGGTTTGGGAACCCCCTCTGTCCCATCTGGTGCAGGGGTAGGTGTGGGGCTGGGCTGCCGCAGCCGGCAGGGCCGGCCCTGAGAGCATCACGGCTCGCTCCGTAGCAGGATCTACAGTGGCAGCTGATGTAACTCCTTGCTGACAGCACGGTCTGTGTTACCGGGCTGACACCCACTGTGCACAGAGCCGGGGACTGCCTCGAAATAAAATACCGGGCTTCAAGTCACTGCTTTGGCTTGTGCTTTCAATTGAATGACAGG